AAAAAAAAAAAAAAAAAAAAAAAAAGAAAAACAAAGCATTCTATGCAGACTGGATGGACCAGTTGCTACAGGAGCTGATATGATCCTCACCACAGCTGTGGGAAGTATTGGGACTTTTATAAGTGGCAGTCGAAGCTTAATTGCTTGGCCCAAGATTGTAAGAGAAACTCAGGTCTGATGGAAGCTGGCCATGCTTCCCTTCTCATTTCTATACAGCTGTTTCCACAATTGTCACAAGTGTCACCAAGCCCTACCCACAAGTGCTTCTTAGTAACTCTCCAGGAATTTAAGCAGTTCCCACACCCCCTTTTCAATGATGGGGAGGGCATTTTTTTTTCATTACTGCAAATTTGGGAATTGAGACTGGTACTATTTAAAAACAAAACAAAACAAAACAAAAAAGACCTACCTGTAATCTTACAACTCTCAGGTGGTCTCTTCATTTATTTTCCCAAGCCTATTATTTTCTCCATATGCATATATGCACATATAAGTAAGTATGTGTATAAACATACACAACGCATGCATATACTGCCTTCTTATAAATATTTTTTTATGTATGAGTGTTTTGCCTGCATGTGTGTTTGTGCACCATGTGTCTGGTGCCCACAGAAACTAGAGAAGGAGCCAGGTGTGGCACTGCACGCCTTTAATCCTAGCACTTGGGAGGCAGAGGCTGGCGGATTTCTGTGAGCTTGAGGCCAGTCTGGTCTACAGAGTGAGTTCCAGGACAGCCAGGGCTACACAGAGAAACCCTGTCTCGGAAAAACAAAACAAAACAAAACAAAAAAAGAACAGTTTTGAGCCTCAACATGGGTGTTAGGTACCAAATTGGGTCCTCTGGAAAAGTAGCAAGTGCTTTTAACCACCGAACCATCTCTTTAGCCCCAATATTACCTTCTTAACATCAAAAAAATGAGAATGAAGTACACACTGGTATTTCTCATGTTACAGTCAATGGATACAAAATGTCTTAAAGTAATAAGTATTTGTGATAGTTAATTTTTTGGTTTTGTTTTTCAAGACAAGGTTTCTCTGTGTGGCCTTGGCTGTCCTAATGCCTCCACCTCCTGAGTACTACTGAGATTAAAGGCGTGTGTCACCACTACCCAGCAGTGATAATTAATCTTGATTATCAACTGGATTGACAGCCACCTAGGTTAGATAAGTAAAGCTCTGAATATGTGACAAACTCTCCAGAGATAGTTAACTCGGGGACAGAGCAACACTGAGTATGGTGGCACCATCTCCACAAGACCAGGATGAAAAGGCAAGGATGTCTATGACAGGCATCCCTCTTCTGCTTCCTGGATGCTGAGAGGTGAGCAGCTGGCTTCACAGGCCCTGCACAGTGATGCTCTGCTTCAACACAGGTCTAGAAACCATGGAGCAAGGCAAACATGGGCCATGACTTCCGAAACCACGAGCCCAAACAAACCCTTCCTCCCTTTCAAGTATTTCTCTTGGGCATTTGACACAGCAACAAAAAGCTAACACAATAGTCTCAGGAAAAAAAAAATCAATATTGATTTTCTTTAACCCCGTGTTTTACAAATCTCTAACAGGACAAGTCCCACATGTCCTCTTTAATTCTGACCAGGCAAACATTTCTCAAGCTAATTCAAACCAAAAGGTCTCAGCATCTCTTAAGCAGCGAGCGCTCTGGGAAACATTGCTGCAACTTTGAAGCCTGTTTCACCCTCATTATTACACGGTATCTGTTTCCCATGCTGCAAGATATTCTCCACTCCAATGATTCTTAATGGCTCAATAATCTAATTATTATAATTTATCTTAATTTTTAGCCTGCTTTGTTGTTAGTCTATTCTACATTCTTTTTACTCTGACAAGTATTTGAGAACAGAATTACAGCTTCTGAGCATATTTGCAAGGACTCTGATATGTATTGCCCTGCAGGAATGGAGATTGGTCTGTTCACCAAGCTGCAGCCAACATCCTCAATTAAGATTGCTTCATGTTTTGAATGGGGATGCTGAACACCCACCCCCAGCCGTACTTCTGTGCACTGTATTGTTTTATAAACTGGCATCTGTTAGGTCCGTTTCTCTCATTAGACAAACTAAATAGAACTTGGCAGAAGAGAGTTAACATGGAGATTTGGGGGTCATAAATAATGGTACTATGTCTGTATCTTATACATCTACTGGATGTTTAGAATTTGCCAGCTCTTCAAGAACTCAACTACTAACCTATGGCCTGGACAGGTTTAGCACTTAACAATCTAAAGGAAGCTGTTGAACCAACTCTAAATACCTGTGGGCTTTTACAGACTATGAGTACATTCCAGAAATGAACCTGTTATTTATTGGAGGTTCTGGCCTGATGCTGGCAGGACAGCACACAAGCCAGTCACATTTATTTAAATGGCATTTTTCTTCTAACCCATTAACCATGTGGAGGTAAAATCCAATTAAGTGAATATGAACCAGCACCTCTAGCCTCTAGGTAAGACAGGTATGTTTTCAAATAACAGAAATGTAAATGCAATCAACCTGACTTCTAGCAGACAAGCATAGACCCAGCTTAAGGTGTTATTTATCATAAGATTTCACATGTATCTCAGTAGTTATGACCTGTTATGATAAATTATCAATGTGTAGGCTCTACAGTGCACCACCCTCATCCTGCCAGAGTGTGATCCAAGCTATGAAGGTAAGAAGAAATGATGGGGATGTTGGCTGAAAGAGGCTGCTAAGGAGCAGAGGTATATACATGGTCCCAGGTATATATAGCTGGTATCCTAACCTAGGTACATGTGGCTGGCATCCTAACAAGTATCCTTGTGTATTTCATAGACAGATACACAAGATGGAACAGTAATGTCCTCTGGAGATGGTGTCTGGTCCTTGAAACGTCTAGGCCACTGCATGTAGGGCCATTCAAGGGTCACATCTCCAGCCGTGTCCTTTGAGCCGAAGAGCTGGCCTTCTTTAGCACACACAGGCAGCTGGACAGAGACAGGGCTTTGCAGTGTAAATGCTGTGCATTAGCTTCCTGGCATTAGGGTGCGGTGCTCTAATCATCTAGGACACCAGACTCTTCTCAGTCAGAGTGGCATGATTTGGTACTACACTTCCGATGAGGCCTTCAGTCATGCAACGGGTTCCACCAGAAGTCAAGGCCAGGCCCAGTATAGCAAATGAGAGCCACCAGCAGGAACAGAGAAAGCTTAAACCTCAGGATGGGGAAGGATGGGTGACAAAAGTTAGGGAAAGGTAAGGTGGGGAGAGATGAAGTGACTCTGGCTAAGGAGAGAGCAAAGTCTGTGTCAGGGTGGTGACGTGAAGATACCTGCTGCCTGCACCCCATAGCCACCACTCAACTGTCCCCTCCATGAATTCAGGAACCGTGTTTCATTAACTACATAGAGCTGAAGGTCAGTACTGTGGCTGTCCTACAGTGGGTGCTCAATAAAAATACTGCAGTGCTGGGAGCTGCTGCTTTACAAAAGGGTGGACGCTAGTGCCAGAGCTTGGGGTCAGCAAATCTTGTTGCTTGGAAGGATAAGGCCGGGTTACACAGTGAGCTCAAGGACAAACTAGTAAACTTAATGAGACCCTCTCTCAAAGAATAAATAAGAAGGGGCTGGAGAGTTGGCTCAGTGGTTAAGAGTACTTGTTGCTCTTGCAGAGGACCTTGGGTCAATTCCTAGCCCATAATCATTTGTAACTCTATTTCCAGGGAATCCAACTCCTCACTTCTAACCTACACAGGCACCAGGCATATATGTGGTGCAGACACACATACAGAAAAAAAAACACTCAAAACCAAAATAAATCTAAAAGAAAGAATCAACGAACAAACAAATAAAATGGGTTGGGGATGTAGCTGAGTGGCAGAGCACTTCACAAAGCTTCAGGTTTAGTACTACACAAGTACTGCACAAGAAACAAAAATGAAAACAAAAGGTGAAAGCCACACAACTAAAACACGACAAGTGAAGCTTTCTTAGACATGGTGCCATATAATTAAGTCAAAGAGAACCTATTCTCAGAATGGCGCCAAGATGAGGGTCTCCTGGTACTATCTGGTAGAGGCATTAGTAGTTTACCTTTCCTGGGAGACACTGGGGACATCCCTTTTCCTCTTTACCTGACACAGCCAGGGGGCAAAAGACACTGTCTAGGGGGCAC